TGTTTTGTGTTTTTAATAAAGATACTTTCCTGAAGTCCAAAAGGATGGCCTTACCAACCAGATGAATAACCCTGAGGTGGGCGTCGACATCACACGGCCCGACACCTTCATCCGTCAGCAGATCATGGCTCTAAGGGTGATGACCAACAAGCTGAGAAACGCATACAATGGCAATGACATCTGCTTTCAGGACGCAAGTAAGCTGTTAGCCATTTTTATAATGCAGGCGAATGAATCAGAATGCTTTTTCTGCTTTGCTTTAGGCATCTGTCATAGTTTTTTTTTTCATCTTTATTGTTTGTTTGAACAATAAAAAACGCTTCTTAAAGGAGAGCACATGCAAGAGCATTGCAAGTATTTTTTTTTTATTATTTGAAGTATGTGTATTGTTACTGATGCATATCTGTCATATATTGCAATTCTCTGAGAAGAAATCTGCAAAATGGAAAGTGTGCTTCTGCATAAGGGTTTAAAATATTATTTTGCTGTTTGGTTACTACGTATTTGGTCTTAATGAACTTAATGGTCATTTGATCATCTTGGGATGATGGTACAGAAATTAAAAGGGAAAACACAAAGCTTGAGAGCCTCTATGTAGCTGTCTAGGATAATATTATTTACTTAAAACATGAAATCTACTGCTATCTGTTAAAACAAATTGTTAAAATCTGTTTTAACAAACTTGTGAGAGGGTGCAATATTCCATCTGTAAGGAATATGACCTGTTCTCAGAAGATCAAAGGTCAACCCTAATTCTGAATTTTCAATGATGAACTCTTTTTTTGTTTGCTTGTTTTGCTCTGTTCTTGTAATTCAGGTGATGAAGGCAGCGGCTCAGGCAGTGGAAGCGGCTGCACGGAGGACTGCACCACACACATGGACAGCGCTGCCACTGAAACCCCAGTGGTGAAAGCCGACCGGAGCGGGCCTATCGAGGACTCTGCCCCGCACCATGCACCATCCATAGCACTGCCAACCATGCTGGCTCTGCTAGCTCTAACTCTGCACCGACAATGGAGATAATGATGGAGCAACAAGCTAGATATGGACTGCAGGGTTTTTGTCCCTTTTTTCTCCTCTCTTGCAGTTTTTGTATTCAAGCACATTGGAGCTACAGTCAAGCAAAGAGCATTCAGCCTACCAGCATTGATGCTGCTGGATTCTGCTCTGAGAAAGAAAGTAGTCATCCACATCATGATTTTCCACTTTTCCAAAGATCATGCAGTGCCACCCCTAGACTTTATATTTCATGAAATCATTTCAGTTTCTAAAACTGATGCGGATCCAACAAACTCTGCTTCAGAGATTTTTTTTTTTTAAATCTTAAAATTTCTTTCACATATGGCAAATATACACATAGATTTCCAATTGGAAGAAAAATGATAGTATGCACTTTGAGTTTTTTTTTTTATTGAATTCTTTTGACTGAAGAAAATGTAAAAAGAGATGTGGTTAAATTATGCACCTTAAAAAGGTAAAATAAGCTTAATAAATGTTTGATAATATATTTTAAAGAGGTGATGATCATCTAAGTGCAAGAGGATTCAGGAACCATGTCCGCTTTGTTTAGAATTTGATTAAATATAACATTATGCCATTTATTCATTTGTGAAGAAAAACAACATTCTTTTAAATTTCCTTTTTGCGAATGCAAATTCAGAGTTGTGCTTCTTTATCTTTCTTACAATTTCAATCATTTCGGGCTGTAGATGCATATATTGTTTTAAACAGAATCTGCACAAAGTTATAAATACTCACAAAATCTGTTCAGCAGTGGCCTTGGGCTACAGCTGACTTGAAGAGTTAGGATTAACATTGTATTTACTTTGCCTTGCACCAACTCCATAATCTACAAAATATGCTCATATCTTTCCAGTTGATTAACTTAGCTTCAGCAGTGGAAAACCTAAAATCATTTCTAAGAGGGTTTTTTTCCTCTTTAATCTGCAGAAAATATGCCACTAATTTACTGTTATTGTAGCTCTATGGTTAAACAGCTCTGGTAACATTTTGTTTAAGATGTGGTCACTCAGTATAGTTTAAAATATTTACTTCAAGTTTAAAGGGATAAATATTCTCATAATTTAATTTCATCAATAATTGAACAGGTAGGTAGGAACAGTGGCTAATTATTAATCTTCTATTACAACCATAAGGGGCTTTTGTGGATTTTTTTTAAACTGAGAGGAAATGGCCCATCAGTAATTTACCTTTAATGGATAACTCTCTTAGCATCTTAACATTGATAAAAATAAGAAATTCAAAAGCTTTTAAATGACCTGAGATATGCAGGAGATGATTATTCTCCTTGATCTGTAGCTGTTTATTATGAAGACTTTTGCCGTCTGTGGTCCATAACAATGATATTTCTATCCTAAAACTTTGAAACTGAATAGATTTTAGTGTTTTTCCATTCAAACCATCGTTATGCAAGTTCACTTTTCACAAGAATTAGTTGCACTTTCAATTCACAGAGGTTAAACAGAATTCATTCATATTCGAAATTCACTGTTTTAATATTTTTGTGTACAGTCACACCACATAAAGTTTCAATTTAAAATTTTCAACATTAATTAACACTTTGATTATTTTGCAGCCTAGCATTTGCCAGGTGATTCTCTCTGCTCACATAAAACATTTTTTTTTAGTTTGACCAAGTTGTCAATAAAGCTCCTTTTATACACAGAATTCCCCGCTTGAATTGTAAGAGATCAACATGAGCGGAGAATTTTGATTTGGATTTAGTACTTGAACTAGAAAACCCTTCACTCATGTGAATTATCCTCACAGTTATACCGGCTATTCTTATAGCTGGTAGATGTGACAAAATCCATTTAAGTGCTGCTTCAGTCATAGGCTTGTCTTGTGTACATAGAAAACCTTAACATGAATTTTTTGACACAATACTGATAGAACTGGAGTAAAGAAACAACTCAAAATAATCTACTCCTTTTAAATAGTCTTGATTTAGACCTTCAGCTTATAATATTAGGTATGTTTGTGTGTACAGTATCAATAATGTTTGAGCATAAAGACAGAGAAACATGTTAGAGGTAAAAGCCTAAAGCAAACCAGTGCGCAGATACACGTACGGCAGTCACCAAGGTTTTCTCTTTTTCCTTCACAGAAAAATAATAAAACAGAACAATGTGTCCTAAAATGGTTTCCTGACAGATCCATGTGATATGTTTCAGGATATCACAAGGGAGCAGTTCATGCTTCTGATCTGAGAAACAGCTTTGTTCAAGTCAGTTGTTTGAAAAAGTTAAAGCCACTTATATAAACACTATTTTGAACAAAGTCAACACTGAAACAAAAATATTAACTGGTTTTACTTTGTCATTGGACAGTTACTCCCTCAAGAGACACTTAATAAAGTGTTTCATATAGGAAGGTCATTTCAATGGACTATGGACCGATACAGTCTTTAATGTAAAACACAGCCATTAAATAAAAAATTAAACACATTAAACATCACCTAATATTGAACTTTTTTATAAATGATTTGATAAAGGTAACAAATGATGGCACATATGTACTTTTGTTTTAGCACTTATTATGCAGTCAAATGTAATGTTTTTAACAAAAAGCGTTATCTACTTCAGGTAACTAACATCGAACCAGAAACAGAAAAATATTTCACTCTTGTGGCTCTAAAGACAATCAAATTAGGAGATTCCTGTTGCGCATCTCAAATTAAGTTTTCCACTCACATATTCTGTTTGAATTATAATGAAATTATATGCAAACAAAAATTATTGGGTTGGTCTTCAAGTGCATACCTATATTCTTGTGCTGCTGTGAACTTTACATGAATTTAAATTAACTGACTGTATCATGTTTTAGTGCTGCATCCTCAGAATATATTACACGTATTTACCAACTATCATCAGATGCTTCATACCTACTGGAACTACATTTAGAAACTCGCAAAAACATGCTACTTCTTTGCATATTGAGTAACAGCCTTAATAATCCCAGGCAGTATTTAAAAATGTCAACTTCAAATGACAGAATTGAAAAAAATATATAAGCACATTTTACCATACTTGTATGTCTGGGAGTTATTAAGAGAGGCAGGGAGCAAACATCTCACAGAAGTGACGGGGAATGCTAAGAATGACCCCCTGAATTTATCTGGAAAGCTTGAATGGTTATGTCTGCAGCACAGACAGGCTTGAAGCCGACCACAGTCACCTGTGAAATGAGAATCTGTGGGGACTGGACAAGGCTGAATGCTTCAGTGAAGCTCCTCAGTAGAGCGTACTTACAGAGCATGTGAGAGACCTTGGCACTGCTGAGGGGCGCGGACAAAACCAGTCTGGATGTACGCTCCCTGTTCCCTGAGAGCCCGTCAGGTTCACAACCAGCAGGCCAACTGAGTGTACACATCCACAGAATTAGCCTATGTCATGCCCTTCACAATGTATCAAGAAAGATTTGAGCTTTTCAATATTGTTTGAAGTACTCATTTACATCCACAGAGCAAGAACAACACAGAAAAAAAAATACACAATGTGTTTTTTAAAGTGATTCTTTATTCTGAATGTTCATCTCACAGGATGCCCTTTTTGTTTTTTAATCATTGAACTTTTAATATTTTTGCAATAAAAGGTTAAAAACAACAGCCAACCCAGTGATGAATTACATCAATTATTTACAGGTCACATTTATTTTTACTTTTACCTTGGAGGTAAAGAGTTTGTTGAGGGAAGATGCCTTAATGTATTTCAACCATACCGTTAAGATGATTGCATTTCTGTTTTATTACTATTGAGAATAAATTCTAAACATTTTTTAAACAGATTTCTCCTTGTTATAACTTTGTGAAAGGTATATAAAAAACAACAACTAGGATTGAGAATATAATTAAGAATCTATCCCTACGCAGTGACATGCAAAACTGCAAAAACCTTTTTACTTGTTTCATTAAAATCACAAACTTTACTGAATTTAAAGACAGACCCACAGTCAAAATAATGCAGAAATGTGGAATCAAATGAAGATGACAGATTTATTGTTTTATCTTTACAAATAAAAATATGAACAGTGGCATGCATTTGTATTCAAACTGTTTTAGTCTGGTGCCCCGAAATAAAATCCAGTGTAATCTGTTCCCAGTCGGTACATTTCTCTAGCGGGTTTAGGGTTTCTAGACAAACTGCATCAGGAAGACCAAGGAACGAAAGCCAAAGCTATGTGACATTTAAGCAGGTTAATAAATAATATCTCAAGCTTTTAGCATATCTAATTATCTTTTAAATTAATCATCTAAAAATTAATGGATTGGCACTGAGCTTTCCGAGGCAAGGTCATCTGACTAATCTGGGTCAGAACATTTCCTGAGAAGTTGCTAATAGGACTGTGGAAACTCATCAGCAAAACAATTGCTAGTATCTGTTAATATAACAACCATTAGTTGTCCACTTCACAAATCTTATTAGTGTAAAAATAGGAAGAAGATGGCCACTGTTTTCATGATACTGGTTTACCTTACTTAGCTTTTTTCAAAAAAGCATGGAGGGCAGTGAAACACTGTTGTGGCTTTAACCAACATGTTTTAATTCCAACAAAAAGTGAACAGCTTTTAAAAAATTTGGTAGTAAAATGACACAATTTTAAGGTGTTCAAAACATGTCAATACCTTTGCAAAGCACTGCATGATTCAGAGAACTCTTCTACGGTTAGTCTTAAAATCTAAAAGGAGGGTTTGCTTCATTAAGTCATAGGATCAGTAATTTTCTAACATCACAGACTGACAGCTCCATTGCTCTGAGGTAAGTTTGAGCACTGAGGTGGATGTTGGAACAACAGGTGACAGCTAGGCCTCCTCTGTGTACTTCCTGTTTGTGAAATCAGCTCTTATCAGTGGTTCAAAGCCTCTGTTTCTCCGCTGACGCAGGTAGAGCACAAAGATAAGGAGAAGCACCAGTAGGCCGACAAAGACGCCTCCCAATGTGGAACCCAGCACAAACACAGCTCCCTCATCTGCATCTGTGGAAAGAAAGGAGAAATACTCTGAAAATCCAAAGGTTTGTATCGTCGTTGGGGTTAGTATGTACGACTCATGAGGTAACAAAGACAACATCTTATTGTAAACTGTTGTAGTTTGCATAACACTATAACACTGCAAGTCCCACTTATTAACTTCAATGCAAAACAGAAATAATTCTGCATTCATAATGAATTTAAACTAATTAATCATTGTATTTTTTTTGTTATTTAAGCATTTATAAACTGGTCTTAATTTATTGAATTACTAAAATATTTAAATAGTTATTTGTTAATTTCTTTGTGTATATTTTCAGTTTTATTTAAACAATCGTGCACAATTTTATGCAGTCTCATTGGTTGTAAAGTGGCACTTTTGAGTTCTATACGCTTTAAAAAAGTTATGTAATTATAGTATTTCTTTTATTGCTTGCTCAGTATTCACTCACCACCGAGGGAAATGGCATAAGAGTATCCCAGCTGATCCGATGTGACGTAGAGCTCTTCGTTAGTGATGGGAGGGAAAAAAGGAACCATATTATAGTCCCTGTTATGACCAATAGGAGCCATCTCCTCCGGGTAGGTGGCGTTGGATGGAACAAACCTGCGCATCCATTCATCAAAAATGGCATCGGTAAAAGAATGGAGCACCTTTAAATTTGAAATGACAAGAAAAGTGTGGTTATTTGGCTTGATCTAACTGTATACTCAAATGTTATCATGTGGTTACACTTTTGAATTTCTACCAGAAAGATGGGATCATTGGCTGCAGAATGGGACAAAGAGCTGGTTCCATTGAGCAAAGCGTGAACAAGGTTGTGAAGGTTGTCGACCGTATCGTCCAGTTCTCCGTCTGGCTTGTCGTACCCTTCAAGTGCATTTCTGTTCATTTAAGACAAACTAATCAATGACCTATGACTATTTTTTCCAAAAACATATTCATAACACAAACTGTTGAGTTTTACCTGAAGCTGAAGGAGGAGTTGGTGAAATATGGAGAACTGTCAAACTCTCTGATTCCTAAACAGCTTCTGACATCACTCATGGTGGGTAGAGACATGTTGGTTTTCCCTACCATCCCTCTCTGAATAAAACCCTCATTTGTGCCATTGCAAAGAGTCACCAGACGGTTATAATCATCCAAGCTAGAAGGAGAAATAAAAAAACGCCTTTTTTAAAGAACTGGATGCAGATTCACTGTAACGGCAAGAGCTACAGCGACTTGGAAAGATATTTATGCATATTTATTTATTTATTTTGCATTTTGCATAAAGGTTTGATGAGATTAAAACAGATCTTTTTAACCTTAACTCAAAAAGCTTGGTGAGGTGGAAAACTAGCATCAACCTGAAAACAGAACCATAACAGTGAAACTTTGTGATGCCAGTGTTTGTCTGGGAGATGCTTCTTTTTCTAATCAAAGAAGCTGTCCAGAGATACCAAGAAGGTGGTGGAGCTAATTACCTGTAAGAAATCATGTTAGAATATGCAAATACTAAAGAAAAGAGCTGAGGTTCAGTTTACAGTCAAACGATGATTCCAAATCTAACTGAGTGTTTTATAACACTCAGATTGTTATGTGTTAAAAAACCAATCGAACTGAAATCCAATTGGGAACATGTGGCAACTGGTGCTTACTAGTCCTTTCCATATAACCAGACTAACTTTGAACTCTTTTGCAAATAAAAATATCCAAAAATATTTGCCCATGTGTATGTTATATTGTCTGGCTTTCAAACAAAGCACTAACAAGTTTCCAGAGGGGCTGCGACTGTCACGTTAATGCCACAACTCAACACAAAAAGTCATCAAATCTTCCAGTATTTTTGTCTCCATCCACTGGATCTTGACATTTCAAATAAAATGTATTGAAGTTGACAGCTGCAACATGACAAAATGTCAAAAGCTTTTCCAAGGCAGAGTATTCTTCTATCGTAGTTGTGCTGACCTGTTGCACACCACTCCCCATCTGGAGAATCTTGATTGGTTGCTAATGAGGAAAGGATTGTCTGGGTTCCTGCCTCCGAGCAGAGAGTCTGTACACACATCACACTCACTCTGTCCTGTGGCAAAGTTCCAGTAAGGAATTGCAAAGTTCTCATTGCCTGTCAGTCTCTGCAGAAAAAAAAAAAAGCAATAATAAAATATGTATTTATTTCTTCTTACGCAAAATCTAAGTTGCACTTATGCTTGACTGACAAATAGTTAAAGTTACCTGAAGCTCTCTTTCCAAGCTCAGAAGGTGGTACCTGTGCCAGGTAATGAATGCTGGACCCTTGTGTGAGAAATCTATGGCTTTGAAGGGGCGACCAGGACCTGCAGGAAAAGTTTTATTTAACAGCTAACATGATCTCAAGCTTTCATAGGACAATCAGGCCAAAAAGGTTGAACAGAATTCAATCTGGTCGGAATTAAGTTCAAAACCAATTATAATACGATACAGACAGATATTGTTGATTAATCAGCAAAATATTTGGAACAGTTGCTAAAGTTACATCTTGTTTTTTTTTATTTATATATATATAAGATCATACTCTTAAAATTAAGCCAGCCTTATGAGTTAATCTTCATAGCTTTGTTCAAGAAAATTGTTTCCTGATGGAGAAAATAGTGACAATAACTAATAATAGCGAATGTTATTGTATCAGCAGCAGGTTTTTTACTTGTATTTATATCTCTTTTATATAATGTTGGTATGGCACAATCTATCCTAGATTTTCATCTTGTATTTAAATATAAAACGAGATAATTTTAGTAATTTTGTGTTCCTGAATTCGTCAATAGTAATACGCAGTAAGTGGTGCACATTATGTAAATACATAAATATGGCTCGTTCTTGTTACAATAAAGTGTAATTTGGTTTCTTTTGGTGATAACACATACACTGATAAAGACAATTCATAAATATTGATTTACCTAAGAGAGTGTCTCTCACTGAGTAGTAATGCTGCCAGACGAAGAAGTCATAAATGGAAATGTTGGCAAACTGTGGCTCCGTCCCATTTGGTCCCAGCAAACCCAGCCAGTGCTGTGTGGCAATCATGTAGTCTGGATGGATGGTGTTCTTAGCCAGATCCAGAACATCCAAAAACTCCTGAATTTCCCCGCTGGTAAGGGAGTGGATGTTCTTCCTCACCACAGGACTTTTTCTCTGGTCACAGTTTGGACCAGTCCAACCGAACTTACACTGACCACAATTATAGCCAGCAAAGTTGCCTGCAACACAAAAAGCCAACTGTGAAATACTTGATACTTAAGATGGGCTTATGATGGCTTACACAAATTTCTTTCACTCACCGCTGCACCTGCAAGTCTGATTGAAGAACTTGGTGGGCCACCTCTCTCTGTCATCAACATTTCTGAGTCTGTACGGTCCCCCCCAGGGTTTGGAATCCACTTGCACGGCCCTGCAGGTGCCTCTCCCTGAAAGAGAGCCGCAGACGTTGGCAGGATCGGAGCCCAGAGCAGGGCAGCACTGCTTGGACCGGATCCCCTCTACTGTGCAGCAAGCTCGAGGAAACTGAGTTTCAGCCAGTTTAACGCAGAGCAGCAAAGACACAGTGCCAAGAACCAGCACGATCCTCATTTTCCACCTATTTGTTTCTTCCCGTGAGTGGTGAAAAATCAGTTTGCAGATCAAGCGTTGGCTGTAAGGCAGTCGATTTGATCGCCCCCCCAAGGAGTGTGGAAACTCCCTCAGCAACGGTCTGCCGCTGTGAATCTTCAAATTAGATGGCGTGATAAAGTTAACATCTGTGGAAATAGCACTTAAAACCAAATCATGTTGTGCTGCAGCTGGTTGCAAGGAGATTAAGAAAGCCTCTAATGTGCATTCTTGCTTTTGTAGGGCTGGGGAGGATTAAGACATTGGTCTTGTGATGATCACCTGATAGCCCGGCTGTGAGTTCCAGCAAGTCCTGGAAAGAAACCAAGTAACTGTTTGAAGGGGCTATTATGTTGTAAAAACTACTATGTAGCAGCGGAAGACAATATGATGTCTTCTTGTGCTCTGTGGTCGAGTCATTCACAGTTGCCAAGAATAACAGCAAAACAAAATCAGCTTTCAGATCAATGCCATCTCAGAATATTTGGAGTTCTTAGAAGGAACATTTCATCCAGAAATTTGTTAAATTTTGGGGGGGATCATTATTCTTCCAAGTTCTTAATTATTTGCATTTCACCTTTTCAAAACTGAAATTGAAAATTTAACCTAATAGTTTACTCATTTTCCAGACTTATTTGTTGTTTTTTTAGTTTATACAGCACAAAAAAAAATCAACAAAAGTGGGCTTTATAAAGCTTGAACTTAATCACTAAACCAAACTAAAGCCAATACAAAAAATAAAAACTGAAGGGTGGAGTGTGGGCTTTGAGCTGGGAGTCTGAGCACATGACCACCTATATGATAACATGTCAGATGCCCAGTTTCCCAGCAACACCATTAGAGTCAGAAAGGTCAGGTTTAACAAGAGGCTATCCAGAAAATTTTATATGACTTTATAGTGAAAATATTTGTCTTTATAAAGATAAGTATTTTCACTTTTCTGTAGTATATCACACAATAGCTAAAACCCCTTTAAAATATCTGGAACATTTTGTCACATATATATATTTTGAGGGGATTCTGTGGTATAAATAAATGCTGATTTGGGAAAAGGATGTAAAATGATCAATGGTGTTCAATATTATTTAAAGATAAAACTCTGGAAGTGTGACAAACATTTGTTTTCAACCACTGTCTGAGTCAATACTTTGAATAACCTCTCTTCACTGAACTCAGGTCCATAGGTCTTTGAATATTTGACACTTTTACTGGTTCATCTTTGCATATTAACTTCAGCTTATTCAGATGGGATGACATCTGTTTTTAAATTTTGCCATAGTTTTTGCATTTAATTTAGACTTGGACTTTGACTGAGCCATTCCACTGCATCTAAGTCATTCTATTTGGAAGGTCTCTTGGTTTAGGTGCATGATCATGTCTGGGTAGGTTTACAGCTGTGCTGATTAATCTTTAGATAAGTTGATGATGTTTTAAAAGTCTTCAGCTTTAAGCATTTCTACAGCTTTATCTTTCACGTGTCTGGCATAGTCTTCGATCTTCATGACGCTTTTAGTCCTGTGACATTTGGCTTTGTTTGCCTGTTGAGTTTTAGTATATTATATAGATTTTCTTATTTGCTAACAAGAATCCTATATAGGTGTATAATTCTTCATTTTTATTTCAAGTTTAACCAGGTTAAAGTGCATCCAGAAGACATTCACTTAACACAAATGTGAGATTACTTTTAAATATATTTGCAAAACACTCAAAAGAAATGTCCACATTTTCATAATGAAGTTTTTGTGCCTAGAATTTTGAGGAAAGAGATTAATTTAATACAAGAGATTAATTTAATACAATTTGAAATGCAGCTGAAACATCGCAGAATGTGGAATAAATGAAACTCTGTGCATACTTTCTGGATTTATCTCACCAGAGGATAATGTGGTAGATAAAAGGAAACAATGAGATGCTTTTACTTTACTGTATCACGCAGAATGTGGTATTTTCCTTCCTTGAAGGGAAAATATGGTGGAAGTCTACATTTCTACGATAACAAGCATCTGTCTGCTGAACAAAGTAAAACTAATAATAATAAAACTACCTACACCTGTTTGGAAATTATAAATGAGTAATAGCAGAAATATAATGACCACATACTTGTCAAATAAGCTGTGAGTTTAAAATGAATTAAGAAAGAGCTATCATTGTACAAAACACATTATATAAACATAAATGTTTTTTATTTATGTTCTTGGAAAATAATAAATACATTCTAGATTTTGATTTAGACATGGCACCGAACTGCTTGTATGACTGATTGCCAGGCAGCCAGGCAATATGTTGCACACGGTCCTCTGTGTTTAAGAGGCATTCTAGGAGAAGTTAATAACTTATTTAAGAACAATACAGCAAAAAGAAGAAATACAGGTTGGAATTGAGATATGAAGACATTTAAATATTTAGCTTTTTGACTATTGTAGTTGTCTTACACGGACAGTTTTTGGTGTTTTATGATTCTCCAAGATAGATATTTCAAACCTAAGTTGTGTCTGTGCTGATAAATGTTGAAGAGCATACAGTTTGTTAGCCACTGTGTCAAATCCTGCTGCTCTCAGGTATAACACAATTTATAACTTAAGAGACAACAAACAGTGTGAAACAACAATGTTCAAGATAAAGACATTGCCCATTCAAACATCTTCACCTCAAGAGCAGAACACAAGAAGCTAACATGACTCTCTGAAAAGCCATCATGGGACTTAAAGCAGCTTAACTTCCCTGGGAGGTATCCAATAAAAACACAAAGGACAGAGTTAAGTTTCTAAGTAGACACAGAAGTTCTGCATTTATTTTGTTTTGACAGCTGAGCTTAAAATTGAACTACATGGACACCAATGAAGGACACAGACTCAGGCTCAAGTAGTCACTTTCTTACCTAGAAGTAAAATATAAGATTTGACATCAACATGTAAATATTTCTTTTTAAAGAAAGTAATATTTTGTTGACTATTGTGGGTGTTTTGCTTTTTTTTTTAAATCACAAAAAGGAAAACTTAAACTATGTTCCAATAATGCTAAATCAAGCTGTTGTTCAGTCTGAACTGTGACACTTCAGAATCAACACAAGCGTTCCAGCTGTGTTGCATTTCCTCAGCAAGATTATCAGTGCTGCACAGAATTTCAGACATTTCATCCTTTTACTGAAAACAGCTCCTTCAGCATTAACAGGTTTCTAGTGGAATCTGTTATTCCCACTGAAACACAGGATGGTGCCAGAGAGCCATCAGGAAATAATAAATGCACATAATAGCACATGGCTGTAAGAGCTAAAAACATTGCTGCTAAGAGCTTTACAAACACATTTAATAAAAAAATCTTGAACATTCAGCGCTGTAAAGCACCATTTGTTCCAATGTGCTTCTTTGAAAATTGTAAAGCAGAGAAAGAACACGGATAATGTCTTTGCATATTAAATAATAGAGTAAACCCTGTTTGGCCTATTGCAGCTAGTCTTTTCACACAGAGGTTTAGTTATTCAGCCTCCTCCGGTTCAACATTTGTGACTGATAATATTCCACCAAGCTCTAAATGAGTATTTATTGAGCATTTCATCTATTCTTTCTTGAGTCTATTGAGTCTTTCAAAGAAAACTGCAGATGGGGGGCAGAATCATGCAGACAGAGAAATCTGTTTCCATTTTCTTTGACAACAGGTGAGTTGCACTTAAACCACTCTGAACCCGTTTCATAGCAGCAACATGTCTTGGCTTGATATTACAGTCCTTTCACATTTTTAATTGAGGGCACTTCAGTTGCATTTCCAGAGGACAGCACTCTGTGTCCAAATTGAAGGTGCTAATTTCAATTTTTTCGCTGGTTGTTTCATTAACAATATGAAACTTGAGGAGCTATTCAACCAGCACTGCTGGGCTTTTGGAGATTTCTAATCCATATTCATATTAGTCTTTCAAATCAGCCTAGAACAAATGCAACAGAAAACCAAATGCAAATCTTGTTGGTGTTTAGTCATGTCTTCTACTGAGGTCTTTAATTATGTATTAAGCTATTTTGGAACAGACCAGATAAGCAAGAAAAAAATTGTGTGCTTATTATATAAACTTAAAATAAATCTTTCTTAAATTGTCACAATTCATGAGATTTTCTAAAAACAAACTATTTCCTTTAATATGCAACTTTTACTTGTAGTTGATATTTTATAATCAGCTGTTTTTTATTGTAGTGCTCAAACTTTACTGTATTTTTTATGTGAACTTGACTACACAATTTGAGATTAAATTTGTTTTGATTTGTCTCAAAATAAAGAAGTGATTTGAATTCAAGTGATTTATTGACCGTCCATTTTCGTTACGTTTCCGTAAGACTTGTACAGACTGAAATATGAAATTTATATTTCAAGTAATAGCATAAGTTCAATGCTTCTGGATAGAAAGCGTCTGTTAACATTATTTTTCAATTCTTCTCACAAATCTTTGGTTTACTGGATTTACTACATTTTCCCATCAATACTACTTAATCTAAATTATTCCACTGTAGATCTGGCTAAATCTTTAGAGTTGTTGTCCTGCTGGAAGTTAAATCTCTGCCTCAGTTCAATTTTTTACAATTTACTAGGTCTTCTTCCTTGTTTTTAGCCCTATTCATTGTCCCATCAACTCTGACCACCTTCTCTTTTCAAGGTAAAGCAAAGCATCCCCATGTTATGCTGCTGCCATCACCATGTTTGACTGTGGTGATTATGTGTTTAAGTTGATTTTGTTTGTTTTAACAGAAAATCGGCTGAAAATAGGCAACGCATAACATTTTGCATGGAGGATGTTAGTTTTTGTTTTTGGTCTTATCTAACCAGAACACCTTTGTTCACATGTTTTAAGTACATATATTTGAAGAGCCCTATGACAATTGTGTAGTTATTAAAGCTTTGTGGCATTTAAAATAATAAATACATAAACCCTTAGCACATGCATGTTGCTTCGTTATGGAATAATTCAGGATTACATTAAGGTGTAGTGAAAGACGCATTACTCATGTGTCTTTATTTCTTCTTCATAATGAACAAAAATATGCATGTATACCACTAAAAGATGGGCGCCTGCAGTGCCTATTCACAATAGGAGGGGGGCAGTGTTGCTGTGTTTGTCGGCCTTTGCTTCTCTGGAATGACTGGCTTTAACAGTTTGCATTTCCTCCACCAAATATGCCATGAAATAGTCTAGGGTTGAATGTCTTTGT